ACTTCAGAAGCTTTTAGATTGAAAATCCAAAGACGTGCTTCCTGTCTGGACAGTGTGTTTAGTATTTGGGGTCAGACTTCCTCCCTGTCTGAGGTCAAACATCTCCATCAAAGAAAACACACGGGCTGTGTCCAAAGCAGTCCGGCAGGTGGAATAAAACCATGAGCTCCTCAGTCTGGCTGCATAAAAAACTGTGGGATTTTACAGTTCTGGCTACAAACTGTTGAAAACTGCTCAGCAGAGTTAAAAACGCGACGACAGCAGCAGCAGCAGCAGCAGCGCGAGGTTTCACTGAGGTACAAACATCACAGGCCTGTGGTCAGAAAACCCTCACGGGATCTCCGACACGAACGGGAGCAAAGTTTTATGTCTTGGTTCAACTTGGTTCAAGCCACAGCCACTGGCACTATCTGGAAGGTCAAAATGGGACACGCCCCCTACGGTGGTGGAGAATGACCAAGCTAAGATCGCATCCAGCTGGTCTGTGCGTTTCTGCAGCTCAATATACAAACCAGCCCGTTTACCATTCGGCATTCCCTCCTCCCCTCTCATAAAGGATGCTCCAGTGTCTCCTCCGCTAAAGGAAGCAATAAAGGAAGCACCGAGGTTCCTTCCTTTAGGGTTTGGAACAGCTGTGGCCTCCAACAGATCACAGGTCACGTCTGTCAGCGAGTAACCTCACGAAAATGGAAAGCACCCACAGACTTTATGATGGAGCGTTTCAGACCTCAAACTAAACGCACGCAGTTCAAACAGGGTGGACTTTTATTGTGAAAGTCCGGGTTCATCAGTCAATCAATCAACCTGATCAATCACAAACAAACCAAACACTGAAAACTAATCAGCTGACCCCTGAGAAGCATCCTGTCTCCTCCCACTGAGCAGTGACATCACAAACACCTGTTAAACACACTCACCTGGCGTCCCCCGGCAGGTCGAACATGGTGCGGTCCAGGCTGAAGCCTGACGGCGTCTGAGCGGGGGTCAGAGGGGGTTGGTACAGTCCAGCAGGGGGGGAGCCAGGCTGAGAGTGAGACAGCCTGAGGACAGACTGACAGGTGAGACACACAGGTGTGAGTGACTGTCGTAAAAACAACGAACAATGTTCTAACATTAAAGATTCATTTTATATCCTGGCGGGTTTCCTCAGTGATGTCATGATGATGTCACATGTTGCTCTGACGTCACTGCTGCACGTACATGTTTTTATTATTCCAATGACCTGATCAACAATCAGCTCGATCAGCTGCAGCTGGAAGCCCCGCTGTGACATCATAAGCACCTGACGCCCTAGCCCCACCTGTGTTAGCAGCTGCACCGCCCCCTAGTGTGTCAAGGGTGAAACTGCAGAGCAGAACAGGTGCTGCTAACTCAGCTACGTCGCAAACAAGCAGGCGTGCAGCTAACAGCCTCCACCTGTGCAGAGATCACGCCTGAGTCAGGCAGTAGGACACGTATGTGTGCGTGTATACTTGTCTAAATGTCTTTGTGGGAACCAAATGCTTCACAAAGGAGCAGGGATATGGCTGCTGATTGGTGGGTTTTCTCTTTATATTTGAACATTAAGCCCACTGTGGTTGTGCTTTGGAGTTAAATGAGGTTCTGGTCAGGCCCGGGTTAGTCCAGATTAGGTCTGGTCAGGCCCGGGTTAGTCCAGATTAGGTCGTTTCTGAGGGTTAGGGTAAGAGGCTAACAAAAATATTATGTCAGATTGATGTCCTCAGTAAGGCATGAAAACGAGTGTCTGTGTGTGTGTTTACCCGTCCTGAGGCGTCCACATCCAGCCGCAGAGGAGTTGGGGCGAAGCGTGGGCGGGGTGAAGGTGGTGGAGGGGTGGAGCCTAAGCCCTGCTCGACCACAAGGCGCGACTCCTTGTGGTCGAGCAGCCGGACATTAGCTGGCGTCTGGTGCGTGGGTGAAGGTGGGCCGCTGTGCAGCACGTGCTGAGCCAGCATATGGGTGTTGTCCTGAGAGTGGACTCCACCCCGCTCGCTTTCCCGGCCAATCATCTCCAGGGACTCCAAGGAGTGGGCGTGTCTCATGCTGTCCATTACCCGCCTGAACCCCGGGCCTTCCTGCCGCTCTGTGAACTCTGTGCACATCCATCGCCCGCGACGATACGATTCCCCCCGGCCTCCGCCGCCGGCTCCGCTCACTAGTCTCACCACCCTGAACCTGGAGGAAGACCCCGCCCCCTGCCCGCCATCGAGGGAGACGTACTTCCTCTTCAGAGAGGGTGTGGTTGGCTGGGAGGAGCTTCCCTGAGGGCTGCAGAGGGGGGACTGCAGAGAGACCTCTGATTGGATGATGGGCAGGACAGCGCTAGGAGACAATTGGTCTGCTGGACTCTGGTTCACCTCTGAAGTCACGCTGGTGATCTGAAAGCCACTCCTCTTTTTACCACCACTCATTCTCACGCACACACTCCACAGGCTCACTGACACACAGCAGAGTACACCAGTTAATGTGGTTTATGGGGACATTTCAGAGACACAAGCTTAAAAAATTAAACACAATTAAGAATAAACATGGATTTTTGATCTACAGAGGAGGAGCTTAGGGGTCAAAGTTCAGCTTTAACCACAGTCCAGTGTGAAGACACCTGACAGGTACGCCTCCTGACATTCACTGCTGTTTATGTCCAAACAGGACACACTGAGCATGTGCACGTGTGTTGATCCGCATCCTGGGGACGTAGCCTCACAATTAACACAGGTGGTCTACATCAGTGGACTAAGTCGTCAGATGCACAGACCTCTGGTACGTCCACATAAAGCACAAAAACTAACACACACAATGCACTCGAAGTCCTCAGAGAAGCATGTACACACCCAGGTCCCCGTAGAGCACAAAAACCAACACAGTGTGTGGAGGCAGAGGTCCGAGTTAAAGCAGTAACGTGTCTCACCCCTCGTGCAGTCTGTCTGTCCAGAAGAGTGTACCGCCCTGCAGATCCCACTCTGCTTCTTCTCTACTTCCTGTTCACTCCACCCTGCTCAGCTGTGTTGCTTCAGACTGTTGCACAACATGACTGTGTGTGTGTGTGTGTGTGTGTGTTTTTTTAGGTTCTGCAGGGTTTAACCCTTCACTCTCCGGGTCAGGTGAGGCACTCGGAGTTCTCAGAGCTGTGCTGTGATTGGCTAGCTGAGTTAAGGTGGACCACGTGATAATGATGATGTTGGTTTCTGAACATGAAGGTGTGTCCACAGACTTTTGGTCACTTTGCTAACTGACCCTCAAAGCCTGAAACACCGCTTCAACAAAACTTTGAGCTTTAATAAAACAGCAATAAAACATAAATGACAGCTTTTGTAAACAAAGTTTTACTTATTGATTTTTGGTTGTATGTAAGAAACAGTGAGACCAGCTCCCACCTGTTTTATTTTGATTGCACTTCCTGTGTTTCACTTACATTTTTACTTCATAACATAAAGCCATATTTGTTTTTGCTGAGCAGTTTAATTCTGATGTTGTTTCTGTACTCCAGATGATACTAGTTACTGGAGATCTCAGCATACGAGTATCTCATGGTGCAGACGGTTCTGCAGGGACGATAACTTAAAAAACAGCTTTAATGGTGATGTTCACCCTGCCTGGGATAAAGTTACCGGGGCCCCGACCCGGAGCCAGACCCGCGAGGGTCCCCGAGTGCGAGAGTCTGGGGGTTGGGCCTTAGTCCGTTAGGGCCCGGCCGGGCACAGCCAAAAAAGGTAAAAAGAGGCCCACCGCCCACAGGAGGCATCGTAGGGGTCGGGTGCAACGTGTGTCAGGCAGCCCTGGTGGACCGAACCCCGGCTACCAAGACTAGTAACTGGGACGTGGAATGTCACCTCCCTGGTGGGAAGCAGTTAAGTGTGACTGTCGTCTGCACTTATTCGCAGAACAACGGTTCTGAGTCCCCAGCTTTCCTTGAGTCCCCGGGTGGGGCGCTGGAGGGTTCCCCACCTGGGGACCCTGTTGTCCTGCTGGGAGACGTCAGCGCTCATATGGACAACGACAGCGAGACCTGGAGGGGTGTGGTTAGGAGGAACGGCCTCCTGGATCTGAACCTGAGCGGTGTTGAGTTGTTGGTCTTCTGTGGAAACCACAGCGTGTCCATAACGAACACCGTGTCCGAACCTAAAGGTGTCCTGTAGCACCAGCGCACCCTGAGCCACAGGTCATTGAAGGTCAACGACGACCTGTGTCAGCAGAGCTGCATGTTCTGGACACGGTGGAGGGAGGAGCTGACGTGTGTCTTTGTGTGTCTGTCTTCTGTCAAACGTGTGTTTGTAAAACATGTTTGGGTTTAACAAAAGTTACGTAAAGTTTACTTCTCAGTAAACACTCACGGTCACGCGCTGAGCCGAGGCGCGCTCCCGCCGCCGTCACTGGTTCAGATCCGGATAAGCAACCGGTGACGTCACAATCGGTCCATTGTGTTCCGATGGGGTGAAAACTTCAGGGCGCATGCGCGGTAGCACGGCCCGACCGTGGAGCGTGCAGGAAGTTTACGGAGTCCGAAGTTGGGGACTCTTCCTCCTCTTCCTCCTCCTCTCCTCGCGCTGTTTCAGGAGCGAGACTCTTCTGAGGTGCAGCTTCACCTCTTCCTCCTCTTCTTCTGTAAACAAACAGCCTGCGCTCCGTCACTGCACGCTCCTCCTCTTCCTCTCCATCCTAACAGCGTGCGCGTCTCTGTACCAGCTCGTGAACGCGCAGCCAGGTCCGGGTCCGATCCGGATCACGTCCGAGCACCGACGTGCGCGTGCACGACAGACTCTGACAGGGTTAGCGCCTGCGCAGTGGGGACAGAGGAGGGGTCTTTATCGTAAACGTGTTGTCAATAAAGTTTGGTTCAAAGTGTACACACGTGTGTCTTTAAAGGTGAAAGCGAGCGTTACTGAGCAGCCTGCGTGTCGGCACTGACCTCTGACCGGATTCAGCTCATAAATATTATAATGAACAATAATATAAATCATACAAACATCAGAGTTCAGATCAGCGTGCTGTCGAAAGAACCCATTTCACTGTTCCTCTGCAATCACAGCCTCACTGTACACATGCATTTAGCCAAAGCTGGCGCTGTGAGCAGATGTCTTTGTGTAGCTGAGCAGGACACAGACAAAGCAGCTTTTCCTGGCTTTCTATAGCAGATACCTGCTTGCAGTCGATCAAACAGGAAGGGTGGAGATAATTAGGTAGGACTGCTGGGTCCGCAGACGTTACCGTCACGGTTTAACGACTGGCAGCTTGAAGGCCTGCAGCACATAGCTGATTATTGGTACTGAAAGCTGTAGATAAAGAACTCATGATGATGTTCTTCTGCTGCTGCTTCAGTGAATTTTTGTCCGGAGGGATGAAACCTGTGATACCTCTGCTCTCAGCAGCATGTGCGTGCACGTGCCGTCGGATCGCTGCTTTCTGTTGACATGCTTTCATGGAATCCAATTACCAGAATTTATTGAATATTGCATCATTCGAATCAGATCAATGTGAATCGTGAAGTGTATTTATTTATGTCTCCGGTAACCTCGGCTCTCTGGGGAAATTCACAGGTCAGAAGATCCCCGTGAGCGTCCCCTCTCAACATAACCTGCTGCCGAGCAGACGCTCAGCATCAGTCACAGCTCATGAAGACCCTCCAACGCTCAGCTCATCCATGCCAAACACTTTAAACAAGGGAAACAATTTAAAGACGTAGCTTCAGTTTCTTTCCAGATGTTTCAGCATCTGCAGCTTCAGTCCTCCAGGGTCTCTGCTTATAGGCAAACAGCTGTGACTCACACTGCACCAGCCCCTGTGCTGCCACACCTGTGGCTGTAGCTCAGGTTAGAGCAGAGCTACTAACCGGAGGGCTCGTGGTTCGACCCTCGTCTGCTCCGGCCCGCATGCAAAACATCCTCGAGTAAGACTGTAACCCCATGTTGCTCTCTGACGCATCCATCGGAGTATGACTGTGGGTGAATTGTGTAAATCGCTAGGACTGCTCGAAGCAGGAAAGCACAAAATAAGAACCAGTCCATTTACCTGTGATCCTATTACATGATTTATTGCACATAAACCCACGAGAGTGGTCTTGATGACACCCTTAAACGTACCATGAAAGCTCCATTAGCATTAACGTTAGCAAAGCCCATTACAGGCAGATTCCTGCAAGTGTTTCCTTATGACCTGAATGCTTCCCACTGTGTGTTTGCTCCTATTTAAATGCATGGCTCCTCCCAGCACTGTTAGCTTTCCTATTGTAATCAGTGCTTCCTGATAGCAGCTTTGGAATTTCCAATTTAAGTCAACGGGCTCTGCAAGCAGATCCAACTCATAGTGAAATCACATGCAAGTCACACACAGGTCAGGTGTTTACATGAATGTAGTTCATAGTTCAACGTTCACGCGCTCCATCAGATGAAGGCGAGGTGCTGGTCGTCAGCAAGGCCGTAGCTGCGTTTGTGCTGCTCGAAGAGCTCAGCGAGATTCTGCAGGTAGACTTTATGAAGACTCTCGATGTCCTCGCTGCTGGGACTCGGAGTCTGGACCACTGGGATGGGCTTCCCCACTGAGGGCAGAGGCAGAGAGAAGCATGAGGCTGACAGCAGTGTTGGAATTGATCTTTTATATCGTCCTTTATGCATCACTCGTATGCTGACAATCAGATCCTTATTAGGTCTGATTCTGTGTGCACTTGTGTACCACGAGACGAGGAAGCAGCCTCGACGTTATCATTTCCATCAGAGCTTTAGAAACTGTCCTGACCTTTAGATGCTCATCTGACACATGACCTACTGCAACCTCCTGTTCTGATCATTTAGCGAGACGCCCACTCTGCTGTCCTGCAGACAGTTTAAGTACATTGAAAGGTCGCATGTCTATCTATGGTACAGCTGCACCCACACACAGACTACAGACACTGATGTTGTTCAGGTATACCTGCTTAACAATGCCACATGTATTTGTAATTGCATATTCAATTAGGACAGGTGAAGGCCTGGGCTGACGTCCCTCGCTAACAAGGACAAAAAGCTCTGTCTCGTCTGTTTGGTTGTGCAGTTTGGGCTTGTGTTCCAGCAGCTTTGTGCCTAGATAAACCCAACAAGCAGCCAACGGGGCTGACACAGGCTGACACTGGGCCAGAGATAACAAAGGGCAGAGGGTGTTTAAAAACTGAGATAGGAACGGGAGCTGATACGGACTCCAAGGGACTAAAGCAGACCAACACCATCCCCTCCTAGTGCTCAGTGTGCTGTACACTTGGTTAGCTGTGGTTTAGCATTAGATGAACACCATAAAGGTCAGCAAGTCAAGTGAAGAGGCTTGATTGTCCTTTTAACCATACAGTTCACAGTGAAACGACACAGTGTTCAACACAATCAACACAGGACGACATAAAGGACAAGTGTGCAACAGGACGCGCCAGGCGCAGGACGGTGCAACAGCATCAAGTTAGCATTGAGTCAACACGGGATACAGATCGAGTTACCATTAGCTCTGAGTCTATATTAGAGGAACGACAGTGCAACAGCATCAGGTTAGCATTATATTAGGATGGGATAAAGACTGAGTCAGGGTCGGGTTGAAGCTGTGTGCTCGTACCGATGGTGCGTATGGGCTTCCTGTAGGGTATCAGGCCGAAGCTGTACTGGAAAACTCCTCGGGCATGAAACAAAGGCATGGCTATTCCCATGATGCTCTGCAGTCGGTTCTGTAGACACAGGATAACACACTGGTATCCCATAATAGCCACACAGTCATTTCAAGCAGCTGTAAAAGTGCAGCGATGAATAGATTATATTCAGTGTATCAGCTTCGTGGCCGCTGAGAGGCTGCTATAGGGTCAATCACAGAGCTGTGGTAAATGATTGTAGAAGGTTGTGAGGGCCCCTGTGCTTCCTTTATCTAGCAGGTTACTCTGAAGCGTCTACGGTGATGTGGCGTGTGACCTCTGACCTGCAGCCTCCTCAGAGGGGAGCCGGTCGGGTTCTCGATCTGATCAAACAGCTCGTTCTCTCCAAAGGAGAAGACGGGAACCAGCTGAGCTCTGCACACAGACAAACACAGTCAGTCAGGTGATAGTCCTGCCCCTCTCGGCCCCGCCCTCTTTGCAGGCTCCACCCACCCATGTTTCAGAGCCAGTTTGATGAAGCCCTTCCTGTTTTGAACCTGAAAAACAGACGGAGACGGCGCTCGGTGAGGAAAAGCAGGATTTAAAATTTAAAATGTGGTTAGTCCAGGCTGTGACCTCTGACCTCATGTTTCACTGTGCTAATAACCCGATGATGTCACTGAGTGCGGTCTGTTTCCACACAGCTTCCTCTTTCTACGTCAGTGATGTAACCGCGATGGGGCGGAGCTGCGAGTCGCGGTCACAGCAGGACTACACGTACCTGTAAGGTGAGAGCTCCGGGCCGAGCGTCCAAAGCCTCGGGAGCTCCACCCACTGCGACGACGGCCACGTTCCCTCCTTCGGGACGGCTCACCAGGTACGAGAGACTGGACTTGGAGCTGGACACCAGACCTGACAGAGACACGGGTGACAAGTGACTCCTCCCCTCACCTGTTACCATGGTTACCACAAGGCATAGACGGGTACCTCACTAACAACATCTGCACAGCAGATACCAACAGCTGGATCCACGGAGTGTTACAGATGTGTGCAGTGATGCGTGTACACTCTGAGGACTCCCTCCTAACCAACAACGACAAGAGACGCTGAGGCCATGTAGACACCAGCGACCTACAGAAACAGCTCAGACCACTCCCCCCACACCACCGCCAAAAATCTTCCACCTGACAATCAGATCGACTTTCACCACGTTCATCGTCCAGGACAGGGCTGGGGAACTCCAGGCTTCGAGGGCCGGTGGGTCACCACACCTGACTCACATGAGTAGTTCATTCCCAGCCTCCGGAGAGCTTCAGCACGTGTTGAGCTCATTTAGCCTTTAAATGAGCTGGGGTTAGGGCTGCTCAATTAATCGAATTTTCAACGATCATTAAAAATGACCGAGCCGATTATTAGCCCCTCCCTCGTGCTTCACTCTCGCGCTGCTCTGTGTGGCAAATCGAGCGCACCTCTCTGCGTTTCGAACAGGTGTCACAACAATTAAGAGCAGCGGTCTCCAACCTTTTTTGCACCACAGACCGGTTTATGCCCGACGATATTTTCACGGACCGGCCTTTAATGTGTCGCGGATAAATACAACAAAATAAAACTAGTACCGGTACTGAAAAAAAGAAGATTTATTCCTAACACACGTGAAAAGACCCAGGAAAACCGAGTAAATGATAAAAACGATAACAAAATAACTCTGACAACCGATAAAAACCCTGAAAACCACACATTTCACACCTGAGCCTCAACTCTCGCGGCCCGGTAGCAAACGACTCACGGACCGGTCCGAGGCCCGGGGGTTGGGGACCGCTGCTTTAGAGGACCCGAGGGAAGCTCGGAAAGCTGAGCAGAAGTTATTTGGAGAGGAGAGTGACTGCCGTTGGTTGAGAAGAGGTAAAACGAAACTTGAGTGGTGTGGAAACATTATGGGTTCAGTCAGACGTGGATCAAGTGGACGTTGCTACAGTGTATGTAGTAGCTGCACCACAGAGCAACACTGCAAAGTTCACTAAACACAGATGTTTACATTTTTCATTTGTTTTTTACATTGCAAACATTTGCACTGTTATCAGTATTTGCACTGTTTTATATTATTTTTTGACAATCTTGAAAGTCATTATTCAACACGTTGTTATTGTTAAATAAATATCGTCACATAATCGAG